TGGGGGGGGGGAAGGGGGGGACGCCCCAGGATCGGGCAAAACAAGAGGCTCGACAGTACTTAAGCATGCCCTGTCCGCCCCAGCGGTCAACACCTGTCTTCATCCGAGCAAAAGATCACCTCTCCTCCCTAGACCCAGGAGTCGTTTCTCTCTTCTCTTTCCACTCTACGTCACTCGTGGACGGACTGTCATCATGGGTCTCATGTTGAACAAGCCCGAGGGCGTGGCTGGCTCCATCGTGCCGGCCATCATCGTCGGACTGTTTGTCGCCTTTGGTGGTGTCCTCTTCGGGTAGGTTGTTTTACTTTGCTGCCCTCCCCGAGTTTGGATGAGCGTCTAGCTGACCCCGCGCCCAACAGTTATGATACCGGTACGATTAGCGGTATCTTGGGAATGAAGCACTGGAAGGAGCTCTTCAGCACGGGATACCGCAACGCTGATGGCGAACCCGACGTCGACGCTTCGCAGACTTCCTTGATCGTTTCCATCCTGTCTGCCGGCACTTTCTTCGGTGCTCTGACTGCTGCTCCGGTCGCTGATTTCCTCGGTCGCCGTCTCGGTCTCGTCGTCACCAATGTCGTCTTCTGCCTGGGTGTCATTCTACAGACCATTGCCACTGACATTCCCCTCTTCGTTGCCGGTCGTTTCTTCGCTGGGTACGGTGTCGGTATGATCAGTGCCACCATCCCTCTGTACCAATCCGAGACTGCGCCCAAATGGATTCGCGGTGCCATTGTTGGTTGCTACCAACTGGCCATCACCATCGGCCTGCTTTTGGCTGCCATTGTGAACAACTCGACCAAGGATCGCAATGACACCGGCTCCTACCGCATTCCCATTGCCGTTCAATTTGCCTGGGCCATCATCCTCTTCGTCGGCTGTATTTGGCTCCCCGAGACTCCTCGTTGGTACATCAAGAAGGGCCGCCCGGAAAAGGCCGCCAAGTCTCTCTCCATATTGCGAAGGCTCGATGTCGACCACCCGGCTCTTGTCGAGGAATTGTCCGAGATCACGGCCAACCACGAGTATGAATTGTCGCTGGGCAAGGCCACGTACATTGACTGCTTCCGTGGCAACCTTGGAAAGCGTCTGGCGACTGGTTGTCTTCTTCAAGCTCTCCAGCAGCTTACGGGTGTCAACTTCATCTTCTACTACGGAACTTCCTTCTTCCAGAACTCTGGAATCAGCAACGCCTTCGTCATCACCATGATTACGTCCTGCGTCAACGTCGCCTCGACCTTTCCTGGTCTCTATCTCGTTGAGAAATGGGGTCGCCGCAACCTTTTGCTCTTTGGAGCCGTCGGTATGGCTGTTTGCCAGTTCATCGTCGCTATTACGGGTACCGTTGCTGGCATTGACAATCTGTCTGCCCAAAAGGCTTTGATCGCCGTAAGTCTTGTATTATCACCGACTCTCGACACGTTTTACTGACCCATTTCCATAGTTTGTATGCATCTACATCTTCTTCTTCGCCTGCTCCTGGGGCCCCGTCGCCTGGGTCGTCACTGGCGAAATCTTCCCACTCAAAGTGCGCGCCAAGTCCCTTTCCATGACCACGGCATCCAACTGGCTCCTCAACTTCGCCATTGGCTACGCAACCCCCTACATGGTCAACGACGGGCCTGGCAATGCCAACATGGGCGCCAAAGTCTTCTTCGTCTGGGGCGGTTGCTGCTTCGCCTGCATCCGCTTTTTCTGGCTCATGATCTA